GACACAATAGCCTGCGAAAAAATGCGCGATACCCTTATCGGCTTTTATGGCGTAGATAGGGAAAATTTGCGCCGACCGTCGCCCCTCGGGAACGAGATGCGAGATGATACCTCGGATAAAGTCAGCTTAGCCTGTTGCGGATAGCGTCGCGCCTAGAAATCGAGAGACGGTGTATTTTCCCGAATCGATGCTACGATCAGATAATTCGTGTCGCCGCAACCGATTCGCCTGTCGGCCACACTTTAGTTATAGAAAGATACCACGAAACAGCACGAAGCCGGTAAAATATGTGTTTAGATAAACGGATGAATTCTCGGAAAACAATTATCTCCGAACGCTGTCTCCGGCAAGTAAATACGTCGCGTCGAAGAATAGTATGTTTCAAATGGTAAAATTGTACATAATATAAAGGAAAATTCTGAATTATTTTATCTTGCTTCAGCAACATTAATTGAACATGTTAATTAAAGAGATTATGAGAACAAGATCTACATATGATTTAATCAGACTACAATCTAAGATATGCATTATTTGCGATAATAGTATATCATTTTTAATATACAGGGTGCGGCATTTATAGTGACGCGGGCATATTTTTCGGAAACGAAGTGAGATATAATGAGACAAATCAATTAGTGTAAAGAAAAAAACAAATAATCGTTTTAAAAAATACATTGTAAATAATTACATACTTTTTCTTAAAAACAATTATTTTTTTTTTACTAATTGATTTGTCTATATATTATTGTGAATATATTAATTTATTGCACATTTACTCGAAAATAATTTGATATCGAACTTTGATTTGACTTTCACTGTAGAATAAGATTACATATATTGTATAATTAACAAGTTTTTATAATTCATATTTACACTCAACATTATTACATTTACATTCACTCACATATTAGCAATGCCATGCTACCAACAATTTTTGAAATAAAAAATTTTTCGATTTATATGCTAATTTATATATTTTTCTTGCAATACATTAAAACAGAAAAAATAATATACTAATTAAAAACTAATAATATATTTCTAGACTTGTTTTTACTCCCGACTGCTGCCAACCGCAGGTTATTTATATACATATATAGCTATATATATTATTTAAAATTTTATATATTTTATATATAAATATCTCTTTTTCTTTATTTAATATATATATATCATATATTTTTATAGCAAGACAAAAATTCTAAGTTAATTTTCTGGTGCTTGGCCATTTACTAATACGTCTCCCGTAATTATCGCAAATAAGCAAATAATTAATTTACTCAATTAATTTACTCACCAATAATGCATCACCTCGCCGTAATCGCTGGCTTTATCACGGCTATCCCGAGTACTCGTTCATACCAATGCAATTCGAGAAAAATGCGGCTAATTAGAATCGCACATTCGTTTATTAATACTTTCGACACTCGCGACTTACTTTGTACGGCACTCCCGACGCGTGTTATGTATAAACCGCGACTAATTGCAATCGCGTACCCGCTAATTAATACTCTACAATACTCGTAACTCGCGTTGTACGGCACTCCCGACACGTGTTATGTTATATATAAACCGCGCCTAATTACGATCACGCACTCGTTAATTATTAATACTCTGCGATACTCGCGACTCACTTTGCACGACACTCCCGGCGCGTGTTACATATAAACCACGACTGATTACGATCGCGCACTCGCTAATTAACGCTCGTCGATACTCGCGGCTCACTTCATACGACACTCCGGACGCGCGTGTTACACGCAGCACGCGTTCCACGCAATTCGTGCAAGTAAATAACGCGAGACGAGATGATGGCGCGTCAATTACAACGTTCTTCACTCCGTAACCAAATAGTAACAAATTCAAAAAAACAAGATGTCTGTCCTACGTCACAATCAGCAACGTCACGGCATAATTTCTCATGGCCGATGAAAGACGTAATTTGATAGTTGGCGAACGTTGAGCAATTTTATGGCACGAATTTTAAAACATCCTAAACATGTATTGTTACGACTGTCAAGTACTTGACACTCGAGTGGAAAATCGCGGCTAATTATGATCACGCACTCGATAATTAATACTCTGAGATACTCGCGGCTCACTTTATACGACATTCCCGGACGAGCGTTACGCGCATTCCACGCGAATAAATAACGCGAGACGCGTCAACTACAACGTACTTCACCCATCCGCAGCCGAATAGTAACAAATTCAAAAAGCAAGATGGCTGTCCTACGTCAACAATCGCAACGGCACGGCATAATTTTTCGTGGCCGATGAGAGACGTAATCTGATATTTGGCGAACGCTGATTGGCGCGATTTTACGGCACGAACGAGCAAGCTATACATGATTTCTTACGGCTATCAAGTACTTGTTGACATTCGAGGGGTTAATTACGATCATACGCTTGTTCGTTAATATTCCGCGAGACTCACTTTCTACGACACTCCCGGTGCGTATTGTATCCGGCACGCACTCCACATAACAAATGACGATCGCGCGTCAACCACGACGCGCTCGTGACCGTGTGGAAGATCTAAAAAATAAAATAGCTCTCTTATGTCAATAAACACAACATCGCAGCGCGATGTTTACGCTATAGTAAAAATTGGCGTCGACTGACATTGTTTAAATCTTACAAAGTAAATTAATGTGATAGATTATTTTCAGTTTTCTAATTTGTATAGTAATATTAATTCCTATCATACGACAAACCAATAGCTTATTGCGCACGCACACGTGTGCTCAATTAATACGTAGCAACGGCCCTAGTTCATAACGACACTCCGATACTAATTAGCCGATTACTCACGGGATGTATGTTCAAGTGTGTTAACGCGTTTCATGCAAATCGAATAAAGTAATGTACATTCGACGAATAAATAACATGAATATTATTTTTAATCAATCGCAAAGTAGATTTTCTTGTTAATTGTACATTTAAAAAATTGTAACGAGCAAACTTTTTATGTTTTCATTATTACTAACAATAAAAGATATTTTTATTATAAAAATAAAGACTATTCTTGTTATTATTATGGGCAAAAATATAGAAATTAGTTTCATTAACGGATAAATAATTAAACTTACGCAAATGCCAAAAAAAGAAACTTATATATCCTGCGAAAAAACGATGTGATATTAATTCTTCAAACTATAAACTACGATTGAACAATCATTAACTACAAAGTATTGAGAATGTAAACAAATAAGATAGTGCTATCTGTATGAGAGATAAAAGAAAAAAAAAAACAGATATTCTTAATGCCAATTCAATACAGGATTAATTGTAAGATATATAAAAACAGCAAGTTTTAAAGGAAAAGATACTATGATATATTTACCAAATTGAAAATCATCTGTCTCCGCGATACGAGTTTTCCATCATTATTAGGATAAATAGAGAATTATATTTTACTTCCGTTGGTAATGCAGATCTTCGAATGATTGACACTGGCTGCGTTTCGATATTCACTGCCAGTACTGAAAATCTATAGTTTACGTCACGTACACTATAGATTTTCAGTAGATTGGCAGTGAATATCGGAACGCAGCCACTTTTAACAGCAATTGATAAATCATACGAACTGTTGAAATATATGTAATCGTAAATTTTCTTTGCAATATTTTACGTTCATTACTATTAATAAATTTTCGTTTTACACTATCAAAAGTAAATCTAAGAGAGATTCAAGCGTATACGAAATATAATTCATTATACATACTAATCAAAACAATTACAAAATATTATTTGACAGAGACAGAAACGATGCAAAAAATATTGAGCATTTTACGCGAGTATAAAACCGTAAAAATGGATAAAGGAGATGAAAATGGGACAGAAGAGGATTCGCATGAAGATACGGTTAATGTCATCACCTGCAAGGAGGACTTGAATCCGTTTTTCGTGCGGAGCGATCACAGCATCAATAAGGTTCACTTTTCGGAGGTAAATAGTTTTATAATTTTCTTAAAAAAAGAAAAATAAAATAAATATATATATATATATATATATATATATAAAATAAAGTATAATGTTTTCGATTTCTGATATCTATAGAGAGAAGGTTATCGTACAGCGGGGATTCTCTCAAGCACGTTCACCCATATCGCGAACGATAATTGGTGATAATCGCATCGACATTTGCACCATCTGTGAAAGCTGTCCGTGAGTCGCGCGAGAAGAAACGATGCAAAAAATAAATAAAGCATTTTCCTCTTTTAAAAATATATAATCGAAAATATATATATTTTTTCGATTATATAAAAAGACGATGTAAGAGAATAACAAATAAGGAAATATTTTGTGCTTCTAAAAAGGGAGTATCTTTTATTTCAAAATAAAGAAATAAATAATAAATATATATATATA